ATGTGGGACAAATCGTCCAAATCAACAAAGTGTAAAGTTTCCGTAACTTATCTATCTTCTATTAATTTACAGTCCACTCAAAGCTATGAGTGCCAAGTTCGGCGCTCATTTATCTGAACGAGATCATCTACTAACTGTCCTTCAGGGAAGTGTTAGAAAAATGCACTAGTTTGGAGTTCCGGTCGAGTTGTCCTTCTTGGAAGACAGTTTGCCTACATGTTTTGACACGTCGGTGGCAGAAAGATCGCGCGAGAAATATAGCCCCTTCTATGTCTCGATTCTCCAGTTCTAGATCCATACGTAGACATTTTTTGTGAGTTCGCGACGCCGCGTTCTATGAACATGGCCCTAAGCTGCGGAAAATATAGGTATCGATCTAGCGTTTCGCGGGTACTTTTGAGCTTTTCGTGGCTGAAAAGGTCCTCGGACAACTAAAACTCAATCCCTTTAATGGCGCCAACTTTCTTTTTTCTCTGCGCTCTCTTGCCTGAAGGCGATTTATGGCCACTTTGACCTTTCACATTCCAACTTTTCACTCATAATAAATGGCTCATCCACCCCGGTGTCCCCTCCCTCGGAAAATAATTCATCTCTTGGCTCGAGTCATGTTTTTGTACTCCACAATGCCAGTCCTTCACTGCTCTGCGCTCTGGGCTATCGCGGCAGGACCCCACCAAAGTTTTAGCTGTCACGTAATCAGCTGAAAACGCGTACCCTCAAACGCTGAATCGATATCTATGCTTTGCTAATGTCTAAAAACGCTGCATTGAGCAGGTGTACAGTCCTCATCATTGCGGACCGGTGGGGCGTGTCAGCCAGTAGGAGTGCGCACACTGTTGAAGCCGTTCTCAGCCTTTTTTGTTGAAACGCGTATGCGACAAAAAGTGGTAGAAAACGAGTAATACGAAGGATATAATACAGTAATGTCACGAAGGATATAATACAGTAATGTCACTTGCCCGCTTCAACAACTGGTGCAGAACGACTTCATCACCGCGGAAGACGGAGCCGCACTGACACGCCCCACCGGTCCGCAATGATGAGGACTGTACGCTAGATCGAAACCTATGCATTTCTAGTCGCTTAGAACGCTGTCGTACGATGAAAACGTCGGGAGCACATTCATACG